TGAAGCGATAGTATTGAAGTCAACAACTCTGAAAGCAAGCGCTTCATTCTGAAGACCTAAGTTTGTTTGTAGCTTTACTGTCCCGTATTCGTTTGGGTCTGTACTTTGCAAATAGAACAACATTTTATTCTCATTAAAATATGAGTATTGCTGCATATGCGTATGAAGCTGACAGAGCTAAACGTTTATATTTTGGTCAATACTCTCTCACACTTACTGACAAATATATTGTTATTTCTGATGGAAATACCGAGAAATACATAACATGGAAGGACTATGAAAAGTTTGACCCTATTTTAACTCCATGCACTATGCCATTCATTGTAAATGGTGAAGTTGTCATGAAGAACGACACAACTGTTTATAGGTCTGTATATGAAGCGTTAGAATATATGTTGAATTATAATCCCGAAAGATTTGACCCAAGCACTACGTCATGTACAATGCCTTTTATTAAGGATGGTGAAATCGTAAGAGTTCCGAATTCAACGGTTTACACAGCTGTTCAAAACAGTTTACAAAACATTTTAGCGAATATCTTTAATTCAGAAACTACAGAAATAAAATTACCATATATAACAGATGCTAAAGAAATTAAATCAAAAACGACAACATTATTTACGTCACTTAATGATTTAATGACTTATATCATTAATATTCCTGCACCAACTACAGCATTTGATCCAAACTCGACGGTTTGCAGTGTACCTTTCATAAAGTCGCAAACGGACTCTTTGAGTCCTGAAGGTCTTTCAGACCGAAGCGACCAGGGCGAAGCCCATGACAGTTCATTAATTGTTTTAAGGGATTCAACAGTTAATGAATCATTAAAGGCGTCATTAATGAAAATCATTGATTTTAATTCATTCACGAATACATATAATTCATTCATTAATGTTTCATATGCTTCTAAAGAAGGTGAGCCAAAAACTATCGATAAAGCGGTGTATGAAATAAAAGCATCAACGACGAAATTGAATTCGTTAACTTTTGACGGTGATAGTTTCGTTAATGACATAACATCGGGGAAAACAATTTTAACGAAAGAATATTTAAAATCTCATGTTAGTGAGTTCGTTGAAATTGAAAAAGAAGGTGGAATTAAGTTCGATCCACTGAATTTCATTTTCAGCTTAGCGAATGCGGGTGTTAGTTTCGCTGAATGGACAACTATACAGAGTGAAATAAATGCAATATGGACGTTTTTGGGGTCAAAAGCGGGAATGGGTGAGCTTGTAAATGCTGCAAGAACATTAGGTGAAACAGGAAATTTTGTAGATGGTTTTAAAAGACTTGTTTCAAATGTTTTAACAAACACAAAGAAATTATTTAGATATACCATACATAACGGACGGATTTTCGAACAGGTAGCAACAAACCCTCCGGTTATGGCTGCGTTGATGATGGTTAGAGATATAAAACCACGTAACGACGGGAACGAAGAACATGAACAACAGAGCCCAACGGGCTCAGAGCCACATAGTGGCGAGGATACTGGTCGGGTTATTCAAGACATTAAAAACGTGTATCCTGAAGTTATTGATTTATTTAGAGGAGTTAATGATTCAATTTCAAAACATTCTATAACCCTCGATGAAGAGAATAAATTAACAGATTATATATTCGTCATTATTGCAGAATTAATGAAGAGAATAAATGAAAAAGGAATTGGTGATATCATTAATGTCAGCGATGTAATGATGAAAAGAAATTTTGACTCATTATTTACAAAACCGAAAACAGAATATAGTCTTTATGACGTAATTACCGAATTAATGAAAAAGATTAATGATAATAAGAGTTCTGGCGGAAGAGTTGAATTAGAAGTGAATGATGTTAATGAGAAATTAGCCGAAAAAGCAGATAAAAACCACGTTCATTATATAACTTCAGACGAACAGATTATAACGGACTACCATGGATATTTAACACGAAGTGATGAAGCGAAGACAAAAAATGTTAATGAAAGAAGATATAAATACATTCGTGCTAAAGGTTATGACATAAGCTGTACTGTACAGTATGACACAGGTAAAGCACCAGAAGCATTTAGTTATAACGATGAAATTTATGCCTCTACTTTCTCTGTTAATGGTGTATTAGTTGAACCAAGATTTATGTTAAGAGTTAAGGCAAAAATAACGTTTGAAGATGCTATTAAAAGTAAAGCTGACAAAGTTGAACTTGACGCAACGAACAAAGTTTTGAAATCTCATAAACACAACATCTCCGATATAAATGAACTTCAAACTTCTTTAGACAGTAAAGCTGACAAGAACCATACACATAAATCCTTCACTACTGTTAGAGCAGACGACATAATATTGAACTTTGACCTTGGTTCAAGTGCACCATTAGAAAATCCAAGTACAAGCGTAAAAGATACTCTTAACAGTTTAGATAACAGTTGCAGGAACATTGAAAGTCATGCCAGAAACTTTGAAGCACATGAACTACCAGCAATGTTAGATAAGAAAGCAGACAAGAACCATACACATAAATCCTTCACAACTGTTGCTATAGAAAGTATTGAAGGAACGGTTGAAGAAACTGGTGGGGAGGGCGGAGCCCCGCCGCACGCGGCTGCATTATATTGTAAACCTCCTAACTTTCCACAAGGTTTAACATCGGATGACGACATAACGACGATGAGAAACATTAGATGTAAAGATGTTTATGTCATGAAGGATGAACATAATATTAAATTCACTGCTTCAAGATTCATATGACAAGAAAGCAGACAAAGAACCATACACATAAATCCTTCACTACTGTTAGAGCAGACGACATAATATTGAACTTTGACCTTGGTTCAAGTGCACCATTAGGAATCCGAGTAGCAAGGTAAAGATACTCTTAACAATTTAGATAAGAGTTGCAGGAATCCGAAGATCATGCAGAAACTTTTGAAGCATATGAACTACCAGCAATGTTAGACAAGAAAAGCAGATAAAACTTATGTGGATGCAGAACTAACAAAGAAATTTTCGAAACCAATACAATGAATTTACAACAGAATTATAATGGTGAACAGCAACTCCATTTAATTTGTTAGAGGTCTTCAACCAGATACTTTTGAATTTTTCTTGGATAATTCTATTGAACTAACATTACATTATAAAAGTGGAACAAATGCACACATTTCATCCGGGAGATACATTCCAAATGGTATTTAATGACATAAGTTCTTTAGAATATGTTTATAGAGTTATGAGCATATATGATTTAATAATCCTATAGGAGCTGTTATAGTCTATGATCCAATAATCCAAAACACTTTATTTGGTGGTAGATGGTATGAAATAGTTGACAAGTTTCCATTCTACACGAATACGCAGTCAATGAGATGGAGGTTCAAAAAATAGTATGAAAACCTTCCTTCACATATGCATAGTTCAGTGGAAGAACTCTGTGGAAGGAAACCATTCACATTCAATAACAAAAAGAGGTTATACAAATCTTGCAGCGTGTTCGAGATAGACAGGGAATGAATCGGTGTGTAGTATTTATTGAGAGCATTTAACACTCCAGCTAATGTTTTCCATCTTATATTCTACATTATTGTGAAATCTTATTTCGTGCTTCTTTCCATCTATTTCAAGCTCCATGAAATCTGTTTCGTCAGTTATAACGAATGAAGCAATAGTATTAAAGTCAACCATTCTGAATGCAAGTGGCTCATTCTGTAGACCTAAGTTTTGTTTGTAGTTTTACTGTCCCGTATTCGTTTGGGTCTGTACTTTGCAAATAGAACAACATTTTATTCTATTAAAATATGAGTATAGCTGCATATGCGTATGAAGCTGACAGAGCTAAACGTTTATATTTTGGTCAATACTCTCTCACACTTACTGACAAATATATTGTTATCAGTGATGGAAATACCGAGAAATACATAACATGGAAGGACTATGAAAAGTTTGACCCCATTTTAAACTCCATGCACTATGCCATTCATTGTAAATGGTGAAGTTGTCATGAAGAACGACACAACAGTATATAAGTCTGTTCATGAAGCGTTAGAATATATGTTGAATTATAATCCCGAAAGATTTGACCCAAGCACTACGCCATGTACAATGCCTTTTATTAAGGATGGTGAAATCGTAAGAGTTCCGAATTCAACGGTTTACACAGCTGTTCAAAACAGTTTACAAAACATTTTAGCGAATATCTTTAATTCAGAAACTACAGAAATAAAATTACCATATATAACAGATGCTAAAGAAATTAAATCAAAAACGACAACATTATTTACGTCACTTAATGATTTAATGACTTATATCATTAATATTCCTGCACCAACTACAGCATTTGATCCAAACTCGACGGTTTGCAGTGTACCTTTCATAAAGTCGCAAAGCGACCAGGGCGAAGCCCATGACAGTTCATTAATTACTTTAAGGGATTCAACAGTTAATGAATCATTAAAGGCGTCATTAATGAAAATCATTGATTTTAATTCATTCATGAATACATATAATTCATTCATTAATGTTTCATATGCTTCTAAAGAAGGTGAGCCAAAAACTATCGATAAAGCGGTGTATGAAATAAAAGCATCAACGACGAAATTGAATTCGTTAACTTTTGACGGTGATAGTTTCGTTAATGACATAACATCGGGGAAAACAATTTTAACGAAAGAATATTTAAAATCTCATGTTAGTGAGTTCGTTGAAATTGAAAAAGAAGGTGGAATTAAGTTCGATCCACTGAATTTCATTTTCAGCTTAGCGAATGCGGGTATTAATTTTGCTGAATGGACAACAATACAGAGTGAAATAAATGCAATATGGACGTTTTTGGGGTCAAAAGCGGGAATGGGTGAGCTTGTAAATGCTGCAAGAACATTAGGTGAAACAGGAAATTTTGTAGATGGTTTTAAAAGACTTGTTTCAAATGTTTTAACAAACACAAAGAAATTATTTAGATATACCATACATAACGGACGGATTTTCGAACAGGTAGCAACAAACCCTCCGGTTATGGCTGCGTTGATGATGGTTAGAGATATAAAACCACGTAACGACGGGAACGAAGAACATGAACAACAGGATACTGGTCGGGTTATTCGAGACATTAAAAACGTGTATCCTGAAGTTATTGATTTATTTAGAGGAGTTAATGATTCAATTTCAAAACATTCTATAACCCTCGATGAAGAGAATAAATTAACAGATTATATATTCGTCATTATTGCAGAATTAATGAAGAGAATAAATGAAAAAGGAATTGGTGATATCATTAATGTCAGCGATGTAATGATGAAAAGAAATTTTGACTCATTATTTACAAAACCGAAAACAGAATATAGTCTTTATGACGTAATTACCGAATTAATGAAAAAGATTAATGATAATAAGAGTTCTGGCGGAAGAGTTGAATTAGAAGTGAATGATGTTAATGAGAAATTAGCCGAAAAAGCAAACAAAAATGAGCTTTTAGCTCTGAGTGATAAAGTCAAGAACCACGTTCATTATATAACTTCAGACGAACAGATTATAACGGACTACCATGGATATTTAACACGAAGTGATGAAGTGAAGACGGAAGACCCCAATGAAAGAAGATATAAATACATTCGTGCTAAAGGTTATGACATAAGCTGTACTGTACAGTATGACACGGGTAAAGCACCAGAAGCATTTAGTTATAACGATGAAATTTATGCCTCTACTTTCTCTGTTAAAGGTGTATTAGTTGAACCAAGATTTACTTTGAGAGTTAAGTCAAAAATAACGTTTGAAGATGCTATTAAAAGTAAAGCTGACAAAGTTGAACTCGAAGCAATGAACAAAGTTTTGAAATCTCATAAACACAACATCTCCGATATAAATGAACTTCAAGCTACATTAGACAGTAAAGCCGACAAGAACCATACACATAAATCCTTCACTACTGTTAGAGCAGACGACATAATATTGAACTATACCCTTGGTTCAAGTGCACCATTAGAAAATCCAAGTACAAGCGTAAAAGATACACTAAACTCCTTAAATAGTAAATGTATGAACATTGAAGGTCATGCCAGAAACTTTGAAACCCATGAACTACCAGCAATGTTAGAGAAGAAAGCAGACAAGAACCATACACATACAAGTTTTACAACTGTTGCTATAGAAAGTATTGAAGGAACGGTTGAAGAACCTGATGGGGATGTATTATATTGTAAACCTCCTAACTTTCCACAAGGTTTAACATCGGAGGAAAACATAACGACGATGAGAAACATTAGATGTAAAGATGTTTATGTCATGAAGGATGAACATAATATTAAATTCACTGCTCAAGATTTATATGACAAGAAGGCTGACAAAACAGAGCTTCAAACATTAAAGACTGAAATACTTCAAACATTATATCCTGCAGGCTCTATTTATACGTCAATGAACTCAATAAATCCAGCAACAGTTCTGGGTTTCGGTACGTGGGAGCAGATTGTAGATAAATTCTTATACTGTGCGAACTCTTCAAAGCAAACAGGTGGTTCGAAGAAAATTAAAGAAGCAAACCTTCCACCGCACACTCATACAGGAACTACAAACACAACAGGTAGTCATTCACATTCAATAACAAAAAGAGGTTATACAAATCTTGCAGCAGGTTCGGATAGACAGGGAATGCATAGATATGATATTTCAAGTGACCCAGTAGATTCAAGCACAGGTATTTTCTGTGGAACCACAGGAAATCATTCACACACTTTCACAACAAATCCAACAGGCTCGGGTGAAGATTATATGCCACCATTTGTGACTATATTCGCATGGTACCGCGTTCAATGAACGCGCTTGAGCCTGCTTTGCGGACTTACCGTCTTGAATAAAATCTTTAACTTTACATAAATGAGCTTGAAAGAAGTATTCGAACAACATCCATGGAGGTCATTTAAGAAATTCAATGAAGCTGCAAAGAGTTGGGGATTTACTAACAGAGCTGAAGTGAAAAGGTTCTTTGACAAAAATGTTGTACATCAAACAAAAATAAACCCTTACGACTACTTTTTACCAATTTACTCCAACACTCCTGACGCATACCAATTTGACACTCTCATTCAAAGCAGAAAAGGAGGACATAAACCATTCCTCATCTTCATAAATGTTAACACTCGTAAAGCATATGCATATCCAATGAAAAATAAAGGAACTCGTGAAGTGTTAAGAGTTTTACAAAAGTTTGTAGCAGAACATAACCCAAGTACTTTAACATCAGACCAAGACAGTGCATACCTCAGCAATGAAATCACAGATTTTCTCATTAAGCATAACATAACTCACTACACTACTGAAGACCATAACCATAACATACTCGGCATCATAAACCGCTTCATAAGAACGCTCAGAGATTTAAATCAAGAGCGAGACTTTACCGAAGAAACAATGAAACATTTTCTCGAAGTATATAATTCCTCAACACATTCTACAACAGGACATACACCAAATTCAATGACACAACAACAAGAAGAAAAGTATATACAAAAGAAACGAAGCCAAACACAAAATATCAGAAATTCAACACAATTTACTCTCATTCCTGGAACAAAAGTTCGTGTAGTTCTTGACGACAAACCGTTGACAAAGAAACGTTTAAGGTTAAGTAGAAACTATTATATCGTAGACTCTACACAAGGTAATGGATATCTTATAAAAGCTGCTGACGACTCCATAGCATTTTACCCTCGACATAAGTTAGTTGAAAGTAGTAATGGCAAACTTGCTGAAACCATTGACGAAGCAAAGCGAGGAGTGGTTATTGAAATACTTGGCTACAACATAAACGATGACACTTATAAAGTAAGATATGAAGGAGGTGTTGAAGATGTTATACCATCTAAGAACTTGAGAGAGTCGAAGCCAACTCATCTGGGACCATTAGAGCGGGAGTACTGGAAAGATAAAAACATGCCAGAAAGAATAAGAAAATTCTTCTAAACTTTTTCGTTGGATGTAAATGACCAAAAATATATTATAGGTGAAGAGGTGAGATTTCACCTCTTTTTTCACCTAATTTTTCACCTCTTGAATTTTCGTGAATTTCCTTAAGATAGAAAAAATAAAGTTAGTTTTTATTTTATTTATTTTTTATTTTGTATAAAAGATATGATTTCAACAATCGGCACAACAACAATTCAAGCCGCGAACGGCGGGACTCTGTCCACAACAACTTCACCAAACTCGTTAGTCATGAATCCAACATCTATGTTAGTAGAGATGGAAAGCTTCATTCCTTCTTCATTTACTTTCGAAACAAAAATACAAAAAATTAAGCAGGAACTTTTAACAAGTAATTTAGACTGTAGTGCGAAAGATGAAACAAATGAACAGTATCTTTATGAAATGCAGGACCTCATCGACCATTTACCTAAACTACCTGAAATTCAGCATCAAAAACTAACTATTCCTGAATTCGACGAAATTGAAGTCAAAGCAACTGACTCAGTAGAAATAAAGAAGTTCATACGTAAAGTAAATTATGAATTCCTTGGTTTTCATTGCAACCATAAAGTTATGGACAAAGATTGCGATATGGTATATAAGAATGTTTCTGACATATATAAATCTGAAGAATTTAAGACCTACGACAACTTTGTTTCGTTAGTTGCTGAATGTGTTTGGGAAATAAGAGATAAAGATAGAAGAGGCAAAGTATGGAACGAACAACTAAGACCCGCTATGTTTGAGATGAAGAGAGCAATTGACGCTTTAGTTGTTCTAGCAGGTCAAATTTCAATGTATAATGCAAAAATGAACCCACAATGTTCAAAATGTAAAGCAGCAATAAGGAAATATAACTACTCCGTCAAAGAGATAGAAAGAATGCGAAACGACTATGCAGACTTAAAGAAAGAAGCAGAAAAGCCAGCAGAAGATAAAATGGACATGTTAGCATTTCTGAACAAAAACTATCCAACAGTAGAAGATTTCCTTCTATCTGACGTCAAGAAGAAATATAAAGAGACTTTCGGCATTGTTAAAACTTTTGATATCCTCAGCGAAGAAATAGAAGCTACAAAACTGTTTAGGATTTCAAATATACATCGTACAATTCATGTAAAACGCTTGTGAAAAAAAGAGGTGAAAAATTAGGTGAAAAAAGAGGTGAAATCTCACCTCTTCACCTAAATTATATTTTTGGTCATTTACACTCATTTACGAAGAAGTCATGACAAAGCATTTACGATGAAATCTTGACAAGGCATTTACGAAGAAGTTATGACAAAGCATTTACGAAGAAGTTATGACAAAGCATTTACGAAGAAGTTATGACAAAGCATTTACGAAGAAGTTATGACAAAGTCAAGACCCTTTGGGTCTCGCCGCTTAGCGGCTGAGGTGAAAAATTAGGTGAAAAAAGAGGTGAAATCTCACCTCTTCACCTATAATATATTTTTGGTCAAAGCTTCCACGAGAGAAAAGATTCCTCATTTGCTAAGGATTCCAAAAATGAAAAAATCGTTGATTTCGGCTGAGAAAAAACGGCAAAAACCCTTCTTCCACGGGAACAAAGAAATAAAGAAGAAATAAAGTAAATTTTTTATTTATTCCCGTGGAAGATAGAGCACTTTTATGACACTTTTTATTCACGACAAACAAGACAAATAAAGAAAATAAGAAAATACGGCGCTGTCGCGGTTCGAACCACAGACCCTGACCCCTCCATAACACCACCTTAGACCACTGTGCTACGTAGCCTGTCGACATAAGATTTTATAAATTGCATATTTGACGTAAATTTATTTCCATCTGGCTTCCCACTGCATAAGATATTCATACGTGTTTGTAAGACATTCATTAAACTTCTTTTCTATTGCATCTAATCTTGCGTTATTTTTTTCAATAACTTGTCTGTATTCTTCATCATCTCCAGCAGTGTTTGGGTCTTCACGTTTAAAATATTCATTGTTAACCAATTTTTTATCTACAAATTTTATTAGTGTTTGATTCACTTCGTTATGATAACGGTCATATTCTTTCAATACGTAAGTGAAGACAAAATGCGTCGTACCTTCAATCTTAAAGCTTAAAGAACTTTCAACACAGTTTTGAGGGTCTGTCAGTGCGTCAATGAGATAGTATTCGAAGTCAGTCAATAATCTTTTTAAAGTCATTTCATACAGGATAAAATTTAATGTTGTGAAGAAATAGTGTTTATCTCAAAAAAATAAAGTTAGTTTTTATTTTATTTATTTTTTTATCCTGTATGTAAAGACAGATATGTCAACATTAGAGAACACAACAACTGCTATCGTTCATGAAGTCATAAATGAAGAATACGAATACATACAGTATAACAAACAATTGAGACTCATTCGTTCTGTCAAAGACGACATGTACCAAATGCAAAGTATTTTGACGGCTTGTTTTGCTCCAGATACTAAGCTTCCTAAAGACTGGTTTAGGAACCAAAGCACCATAGAACTATTAAGTGAAGCACAGCGAGACGTACTTTTTTCTGAAAACAGTGAAGAACAGCGAGTAGGTAAAAAATCCCAGTCGCCAAAACTCTATGAAAACCGTGAAAAATTGCCAAACGGTTTGAGAGGATATTATGTTCATAGACTTTTAGTAAATGCAGTTGCAATGTGGGCTTCACCACGTTATGCTTGGAATATTTACAAACTTCTTGACGAACTTCACAGACAAGAACGTGGAGAGATGGAAAAGAAACTTCAAGCAAAAGATGAAGTCATTGAATCCAAAGACAAAAGCATACAGAAAAGAATACCGCGTTCAGTACCAAAAGGAAAGGAAAAGAACTATAAGTATATGATTTATACTGAAGAGTTGGAGAATGAAGAAGACAGAGATATGGTTATGTTGCATTTAGTCAGAAGAAACAACAAAAGCTTTTACGACCTTGCTAAAATATATAAATCTGACAGAAACTGGTTCTATCGTGAAAACTTACCGATTTCAATGACACCGAATGAGCAAATAAAAGAAATTGTCAAAAATACTCTTCCTCAAACACACTATGACATCAAAGGTTGCACAATACTTACCTTCAAAGAAGACTTACCATTACTGAAGGAAAAAATAACAGAATATTTCGATAACTTCAAAGAGGAAGAATGAAGTCACGACAACATTAACGAAGAAGTCACGACAACATTAACGAAGAGAGAATGAGGTGAAAAAACAGGTGAAATCTCACCTCTTCACCAAAAATATATTTTTGGTTAAATAGCTTCAGGGTCAATTTCTTCAACCATTTCACTTCCTTCGTCAATGTCAATAGAAGCTTCTTCAACCTTTGGTAAGAACTTTTGTATAACATCTTTGTTCGTTATTGTCTTCAGAGATGAAGAATAATATTTCACATTTGTTTCACCCTTCTTATATTCTTTCTGTTCGGAAAGATTCATAGCAATACTGAAGAAGTCAATGTTGGAGTTCTTTATAACAGTATAATGAGTATCTTTGACATTCACGAAGAAACCCTTTTGTTTCAAAACTACTGCTAACTCTTGTGAAGTATAACGTTTGCGGTCAATGACAATAGCTAATGGTCTGACATACTGACCAAACTTAGATTCTTTCACAAACTTCTTGTTAAAGATAACATTGACGTTTGAAGCATTATTGAACTCATTCTTGATGGCAGTAGCGAGAGCATTGTATGAAAAGAACTTGCAATCTTGCATGTGTTTCATTAAAATAAAAATATTAAATTATTTTGAAAAATAACTTAAAAAAATCTAATCTAATTTTTCAAAAAATATTTTTTATCCGATAGAAAAGATGACAGAAAAATTAACTTTTTACATAGCGCCAGACCCTTCTTGCCCACATCTTTTTAAGCCACAATATATAGTCATAGAACTAAATAGAGAAAGCGAAATTCCACAAATAGAAGAAAGCGAAATTCTACAAACAGAAGAAACATATAGAGACCTAGATAACGAAACTGGATATGCACTATTCTGGTTAGATTGTCCTTATGAAATGTATGAAAAAAAGGCTTTATATGAAGAATATAGAAAATATTGTCATGAAAACAATATAAGACCAAGCTCTAGAGAAAAATTCTATGCTGGTATAAAACATCTTTTCGAAGTTCGGAATGGCAAATATAGAAAGAAATAATTTTTCTAAGTTTATTTTTTCAAAAAATATTTTTTTTATTTCCTACTAAAGATGTATCGGAAGTTGTCTAAGTTAGAACACTCGGAAATAAAACAACTTCTTACAGAAGCTAATATAGATGTTGCAAAGCATTACACAACAAACAAAAAGGCACTCGCTGACATCCTCAATGACTATAATGGTGAAATAACTTATGATAGAATTCATGAGTTCATAAAGCCGCAACGCGGCGAGGACGAAGTCCATGCAAGAGCATTTCCTTTAAATGACGTTGCTATTGACTTATATCATAGACGTTCAATACCTCATGAAGTAAGAAGAGAAATGTTTGACATAACAAATGCGAACGTTGGTCATACTCGTAAAGCTCTTTCACATGACGTTCGTCAAGAGATGTTTGACATAACAAATGCAAACGTTGGTGAAACAAGAAGAGCTGTACCTCATGAAGTAAGAAGAGAAATGTTTGACATAACAAATGCAAACGTTGGTGAAACACGAAAGAGAGATGACACACTGAAACAACAGAGAAGAGAGATGTTTAAAAGTGCTATAGAACAAGTTCGCAAAGCTAATAATGTCATTCGTTCCATTGACGACAAACCAAAAGAAGGTGAGAGATGGTTAAAGAAAGATGAAGAAAATAGGAAGAGGAATGTGAAGTCAGGCAATAGACTCATTGACTTTAACATCGAAGCTTTAGATGAACCAAACAGAGACTACTTACACAAACATTTCGGTAAGGTTTTCATGAGACTCTTAGAGAAAATTAAAATAAACTCCCAACAGAGATGGATGGTATGTTATAAACTTGGTGGAAAGTATGAATGTTCTACGTTAAACCTCAATAATATTGGAACATTACTACATCAGCTCTTGAAGGAGAACTTTATATCAGAGATAGAAGCAAATGCTGCAGGTATTGTTGAAATGCACTATGACTTCTTCTTGACAAACATAAAGAATCTTACGAAATAAAGATGTATGATTTAACAGAATATGAAGGCTTAACGATGTCAGATGTAAAGAAAGGCAAACCAAAAAAGAGACCATATAGAGATGAAAGCACACTGACAAATGACCAGAAAGCCATTTTGGAAGCTCTTAAGCAAACAGGAAACCCAGCACTTATAGAAAGCTTTTGGAAAGATAATGGTGAAAAGAAGTTTTATAAGAAGAGAAGCGGTCAGTTCTGGAAGTATCTTTGCACATTACCTATAAATCTTGAACGCTACCAAATCTTCAATGAACTGAACAAAAGAACTGCAACACTTATGACAGAAGATAACTGCTTCGTTTATGCTTGCATTCAGGCTGGAGTAAATGAAGAAACTATTGACCACATGAGAGAAGTCATTCGTGTTAGAGACTTTCCTCAAAGTAAAGTACAAGAAATTTCTGACGCAACAGGTATAGCATTTAATGTTACCATTGGTTATTTCAATGACTCAAGACATAATGAAATAAAGAGATATATACCAAAAGAATGTGAAACTGTTAGAACTATTGACTTACTTCTTGTTGAAGACCACTACATGCTAAATGAAAGATTCCAATGACAACATATTTCATTCGAAACTATAAGAAATTCTCAAAGCTTGTGGTGGAATGAACATTGAGAAACAGATGAAGATTTATACAAAGAGAGAAGATAAATATGTAGTTCGTTATGATAGAACAACACCGTTATGGGATGTTATGAAAACATTGTGGGAGTGCAAATATTTCGAACCTATTTCTTATGGAGAACTTTTCACATATACTACTGACTTATATAAACAGAACCTTGCACCATTTAAAGATTTGACATATGCTCCAAAGTATTGTGTACAACTGAAGAAGAAAGCAGAGTCAAAAGAAGTAAATAAATAATGAAGTTCATTCCTGAGCACGTTTTCTTTGCTGACTTTGAGTGTAGTACGGATGGCTTTCATAAAGCTTTTAACATCTGTTATGACAGTGAAGATGGTTCAGTGAGTGAAAGCATTTGGGGTCAAAACTGTGCAACAGAATTTTTGGAAAGACTTCCTGACAAGAGTTTAATATATTTCCATAACCTCAGTTATGACATAAACTTCATCTTAAGACACATGACAGAAGTGAAAGGAACTCCCATCATTAAAGGTTCACGAACAATGCAAATAACTGGTTTATATAAAGGAAGGGCAATTATTATAAAAGACTCTTACAGTGTTATAAATAAGAAGCTTAAACTATTTCCTGCTATGTTTAACTTACAAACAGGACCGAAAGAAGTATTTCCATATAACTACTACAGCAGTGTTTTGTTAGCAAATGACAACAGAACTGGTGTCATTTCTGAAGCATGTAAGTTTATCCATGATGCAGATACATTTATGAAGAACATAGATTCCATCAAAGGTTGCAGAATAGATGAAAACCACTTCGACTTAGAAAAATATAGCACGTTTTACTGCAAACAAGATGTAAGAATTTTAAGAGAAGGTTTTGTAAAGTTCCGCAATGACTTATTGAAAGAGTTTGATTTAAACGTTTATGACTACGTTAGTATTTGTTCTATTGCTAACAAATTGTTTGAGAACAGAGTATACTTCCCGAATGGAAATCTTTATGACCTCTCAAATAAACCAAGAGAATTTATTTCGAGATGCATTCAAGGTGGAAGATGTATGTTGTCAGATAACATGAAACAAAAGAGCAAAAAGAAACTCATTGCTGACTTCGACACTGTTTCATTATATCCTTCAGCTATAGCAAGACTTTATACTTTAGAAGGTATTCCAAAAGTATTGAAGGAAGAAATGTTAAGCACAGAGTATCTCATGAGACATTTATTCGATGACGACCAAAAGGAACCCATTGGTGAAAAGTTTATGTCTGGCTTCTTTGTTCTCATTAAGATAACAGAGATTGGTATACCCAGACACTTTCATTTAATAGTTTGCGACCCTGAACTAAATCCAGAACTTAACGTTCCAAGAAGTTCAAACACTTGCTGTCTCATGTATGTTGACCATATAACATTACAAGACCTCATAAAATATCAAGGTGTCAAATGTGAAGTGTTGCAAGGATACTATTACGATGGAAACAGAGATATGAGAATAAGAGATGAAGTAAAGAAGTTGTTTGAGTTAAGGTTAAAGTATAAGAAAGAAGAAAACCCCTTACAAGAAATTATAAAACTCATTCTGAACAGCATTTATGGCAAAACTATTCTATCTCCTATTGAGTCAAAAATAACCATAGTAATGACAAAGATGCTATAAGATATGCTATAAGAAATTACAACCATATAGTGAAGTTCGAAGGTTTGGATGGTTCAGATAAAACTATTTTCAAGCTAACGAAAAGCATTTGCAGACACTTTAACTTCTGTCCACTTGGTGTTAATATTCTGTCTATGTCAAAACGTATTATGAATGAAGTATTCTGTACTGCAGAGGACATGGGACTTCAAATCTTTTACCAGGATACCGACAGTATGCACTTATATAATGAAGACATCCCAAAGCTTGCAGCAGAGTTTAAGAAGAGATATGGTCGCGAACTTATAGGAAAGAACCTTGGTCAATTTCATAGCGACTTTGCAGAAATAACACCTGGAAAACAAAGTTTAGCTTATAAAAGTATTTTCTGTGGAAAGAAGACCTACATAGACTTACTCACTAACGATTTAAATGAAGTTGCATTTCACTGCAGAATGAAAGGCGTGAAGCAAGATGTTATTGCTTTAACCGCTAATGAAATGTTTCCTGAAGCTATACAATGCTATTACAATGAAGATAAGAACATTCACATACCTGTTGGAACATATGACAAAGACTCTGAGTTCAGTTTAATGAAACTTTACAAAGCACTTCATGATGGTCAAGAGATTGCATTCGACTTATGTAAGTCATGTCAACCTTGCTTTGCTGAAAAGTTCAACTTTTCAATAACGACTAAAACAAGCTTTATTCGTAAGTTGAAGTTCTGAGGTCATTTATTTTTGTCAGCAATGAGGTCATTCGTGATAAAAATAAAGCTAGCGTAGATTTTACAATACTGCGATGGTAGAGTTTAAGAGTTGTGCTTCAATGTAGAGACAGTCCTTCCCATCTGGAGGCAAGAACACTGGACATTTATGGTCATGAGTGGAGTACATGTCTATCCAAAACTCACGATTGAAGCCAGTTAATTTATAGTATTTAGGGTTAGGAAGTGGTGAAGTTCTTGTATGACCAATGAACTCATTTTCAACGCCTTTGGCTATATTAGAGTAAAGTATTGCTTGCTTTCTATCCCAAATGCCAGGTGTTACAATCTTTGAAAATTCATTTTTCCTCGGAAGCATTGCATCATAATTGAAAACATTCTTAAAATCATCACTTGGTTCGGAGATTTGAAATCTTATACGTAATGGATTTTCTTTCTTTTTAGCGACTTCATTGAATGGTGAGAATACAATGAATTGACAGTCATGAGTTCCATCTTCATTTTCATTAAATTCATAATGAAAGTCTATAAGTTGTGGCTGACTACCTTCTTCTTTCAGTTGTGCAAGAAACTCACGTAAAGGCTGTAAAGTTTGTACTTCAATGTTGAACTTTTTCTCGAACATCTCATTAAATGAAATCATACATTGCAACAATGTTGTATCGTCTTTAAAGTATTTGTATATGTGAATGTTTTGGGCGCTTAAAGACTGTTCGTCATTTTCTATCTCGACTTGAAGTATAAAGTCAACCTTTCTGAAAGCACGTGTTATATACATAGATGTTATGCCAATGTACTTCTCTTCATTTATGTTCACAATCCAGTCTGTTGGAAACTTAAACGTTACTCTGTTCCCCTTTATTTTGACGTCAGGGTTTTCACTACTGAACGCAACATAAAGGTATTTGTCTATACATTTAATTCGGATAAAAATAAACCATTTACTCTTTCTTTGCTTCAGCTTCTTTAGCTTTTGCTTCAGCTTCTTCTCTAGCTTTTTTCGCCAGCAAACGTGGGTTCTTCTGTCTTCCAGCAGCTAATGCAGCTAGTTGTTTTTCACTAAGTTTTCTCTTTGGTCTCTCTGGCTTTTGTTCTTGTTTTTGTTCCTTCAGTTCGGATAAAATTTGCTCGCGAATTTCTTTCTTCAATGCTTCAACATCTATGACCCTTGGGTCTTGTCCGTAGGCTTGTCTGAGTCATTTGACTGCAGATAAAAAACTAAATTAAAACTTTAACCGATGTAAAATGAGCTTGTCAAAATCAGAGCGAGAGTCTATTATATTAAATGACGCAAGAGGAATACAACATCCTTTCTATTACGTAAGTCAGAGTAAAGATGGTAAAATATACGTAAGAAAAAGAAAGGTTCCATTAGCGAATGCAGAGAGCGACAACATTAAGGTGCATGGCACCGAGGGCGAAGCCCATATAAAACCTTCTTTCAAACTGAAAAGTCAATAGAACAAGAAGAAAAGAAGCCAGATGTACTTTCAATAACGAACCAAGAGCTTATTGCAAAGTTCGTGAATTTCATTGAAAAACAAACCGAGTCAAAGAACCCTGACCCACCAGTGAAAGA